CTGGGTGGTTTGGTGACCGCTGAGCTGTGGCTGTGGTTTCATGCTGGCGAGATCATAGCCAAGTGTGGCATCATTGATTGTGATGTTTGAAGACCAATATGTAACATGTGATTATGTTTGCTTTATTATTCGGGTGTTCTTGGACCATGTGTGAGCAGCCTGTATTTGAATAAAATAAGACAACAGGTCAAAAAAATTGTTCGTTGTGCTATTATTTATTTTTTAAAGATTTTTTCATAATTTTATTTATTCATCCATTTTTGGCTGTGCTGTCTTCATTGCTGAAGGGGCTCCTCTCGAGTTGCGGTGCGCACGCTTCTGGTCATGGCGGCTTCTCGCTGTGGAGCCTGGGCTCCTGGCCAAGCAGGCTCCGGTGGTCTGGGGGCATGGGCTTTAGAGCTCAGGCTCCCGAGTTGTGATGCACAGGCTTACTGCCCCTTGGCCTGTGGGATCTTCCCGGACCAGGATTCAAACCCATGTCTCCTGCACTGGCAGGCAGGTTATTTACCACTGAGCCACCAGGGAAGCCCCTCGTTGTGCTGTTCTTTTAAATGCTGTGTACGTTTGGAAATTGTTCATAGTAGAAGTTAGCAAAAAATAAAGAAATCGTAGTCTTGCGCAGGTAGTGTTGTAACTGTAAACACCACCTCAAAGCCGAGCCAGAGGTGTTCGGGGTAGAGTTTTGCTGACCCCAGGCATCAAGACGCTTTCAGCCCCGGTCCAGTCCTCATGTGGCCAGGTTACCCTGGGTCCCCAAGGGGGCTGCACTTTTCCCCACCAGGCTTTGTGCGATCTGTTTAATGGTCTCTCTGTTCGATGACACGAGAGGTGCACACGGCCGAGGCCAGCGCAGGACAGGCGCGCTAAATGCTTTTCACCGAAGTTTCAACTCTGAATGATGACTCGTCTGGGGACTCTGTTGCTGCTGCTTTCCTCTGTTCTGTAAGATTCTCTAAGGGCTGAGGACAGGGTGCTTCTGCCATTGATCAACAAGAACACGGGCTTTGAAGCTTTAAGAAGAATGTGGATTCCAACTCAGGCTTCTCTGCCGCCTGACTTTAGGCAGATGCCTTGCCTTTGTGGGCACTGGGCACCTCATTGCCAACACCTGTACGGCAAGTTTGTTCATACACCATCAAGGCAGAAACAGCCCCAGGGCCAGAGGAGGAACTGAGGGGAGCTATTGGGTCAGCCAAAACGTTTGGGTTTTTTGCAAGATGTACTGGAAGAACCCAAACGATCCTTTTGGCCAACCAAAAGTAATATTACAATTTTTATCTTTTTTTTTTTTATTGCATCTTTTTAATGTTATTCTTTTCACTGACTTGAATTTGTCTTTCTTGTACCTCTTGGCCTCCTTTCTGCTTCCTTTGTTTTTCACCTCAATAGGTAGAGAAATCAGAAAGCAACGTGTGAAATTCTCAGTCTGTAATCCCACCTTTGTCACCCAAGGTGATATCGAGTTCTGGAGGGAGGGAGGGAAGGAAGGCGGGGAAGCGGGGAGGAAGAGTGTCACTGGCCATGGTCACCCTCCTAAGAATGGGATTCCTAAGCACAGTCCAAGAATCCGACCTTTTATTTTTTTGTATTTTAACATTTCTTCATGAGAACAAATGATCCTTCAGCTTTATTGAGGTAAAGTGACAAGTAAAATTGTATGAAACCAATCTGTTTTGATTTCAGGCATCCAAATAGACTCTTTGTAACACGGGATCAGTGCCAAGGCTGAACTACAGACCCAAAGAAACAATATCTACTTGTTCTCAATTATTCTCGGAAAAAGAGGCCTATATTTTCTTCCCCAGATGGTGGGGAACAGAGCCTTGTACATGTTTACCATTGTTCCAGGTCTTCGAAGAGAGTCTTGGGGTAACAATGAGGGGCTTTGCCTAGACAGGGGCTCAAGTGAAGAGACTTTAGATGAAATGGTGCTAACGGGACATGCGCCCCGGCCCCTGCGGCCTGCCAAGCTCACAGGTGTAAACCCGGGTCACGTCCATGACCAGGGACCAACAGAGCTCAGCTCTCCTCTCATTTTACTATGGAAAAGCACAAAATAGGTATTTTTTTCCAAGTCAGCATTGTGTTCAGGCAGATACTGAACTTTCCTCCATGGGTGAAGGGTTTAACATTCATTTTTCAAGCATTTTTTCATTCAGGTAACATTGATATAGAAAAAAATGGGGTCCCAGGTTGCCCCATCTCATTCTGGCTCATAGAGCGTGAAAAAGAGGAACCCGAGGAGGTCTCCATCTGCAACTGGTTCTGTGAGGGGCCCTCCCGGGACCTGTCTCAGTAGAGAGGGCCCCCTTGCAAATCTGACTTGCCCCGGTGGATTCGTAGGGGTGACAGGCAGCAAAATTAGTTCAGGAAGGCATTTAAGAACATAACCTCCAAGGAGGAGGGGCATGAATGGGTAAAGAGCAAGGTCCTGTACGGCACAGGGGACTCCAGTCAATACCCTGTGAGAAGCCAGAATGGAAAAGAACGTGAAAAAGAATGTATATGTATGTGTAACTGAATCACTTTGCTGGAAAACAGAAATTAGCACAACATTTTAAATCAGATGTATGTCAATAAAATAAAGTTAAAAGAAGAATATCGCCTCAAAGAAGAATTAAAGATGTCGACATCTCAATGCAAAGATGCCAAACAAAAATGGGGCAGATACTGTTAATTGTGTAAGTTTGCCTCTGCTTTGTGTCCAGTGACCTACACGGGGCGTGGGGCTGGGAGGGGCTCCCCAGATCCGCCCAGAGGAATGAGAGGTGGCCTTAAGGTGGGGGCAGTGAGGGCACAGACGTCTCTTCCGGGTAAGTTTTCAGAATGCAAGGCAGCTCTGCAATGAGACAGGTTGCTCTGTGTCATCTGTCCGTCTGTCTCTCATCAATCCTCTCTGCCTTCTCCAGCTTACTCCAGTGAGCTACCCTGCTTAATCTGACAGCTCACCTCATGGGAGGGCACCCTGATGGGCCACCAGTCAGCCAGTGGAGGGACCTGTTTTGGCAAGTGACTCCCCCCACCACCCATGCAAACAGTGCTCTGCAAAGTGCCCTGTCCTGCTTGCCTTGCACCTCCTGGTGGGGGTGAGCATCACACCTCACGTGTGCAGAATACGTGTGTCCAGAGAGTACATCTGACTTCAGATCCTAGTTCTGGAGCCTGGTCTTGGGACTGCCTTGGATAGCAAGTGTTGCATAACCAAGCCACTATCTCTTTTCATATTTAAGCTGCTCAGTTGCTTCTAAGATAGACCTGAGGTGCTGGATTGGAACATTTTGAATCCGCTTCTGATTCTGGCTCTAACACTGGGGGCCGGCTTTAAGGCAGTGAACAAACCACTCCCTCTTAGTGTCCCTGTTTGCTCCCCTGGGACAGAGCAGGTCCAAGGAGACAGACACTCAAGGTCCCAAGATGGGACGAATGTGCTCTGAGTGCAGCTGCTCTCCGTAGTGGCTTCATGACTTCGGCTCTGAAAGAAGGTGCCATTTCCATCACCAGGATCTGGAAGCCTGCACTGTGCTCCGTCGCTCAGTTGTGTCTGTCTCTTTGTGACCCCCTGGACTGCAGGCAGCCAGGTTCCTCCGTCCATGGGATTCTCCAGGCAAGGATACTGGAGTGGGCTGCCATTTCCTTCTCTGGAGGATCTTCCTGTACCACGGATCGGACCCACCTCTCCTACACTGGCAAATCTGAAGGATTAGGACTTGGGTATCTCTTTTTTTTTTCTCTTGGGCTCCAAAATCACTGCAGATGGTGACTGCAGCCATGAAATTAAAAGAATGCTTGCTCCTTGGAAGAAAAGCTATGACCAACCTAAACAGCATGTTGAAAAGCAGAGACATTTATTGGCTGACAAAGTCTGTGTAGTCAAAGCTATGGTTTTTCCATTAGTCGTGTATGGATGTGAGAGTTGGACTGTGAAGAAAGCTGAGCATTGAAGAATTGATGTTTTTGAACTGTGGTGTTGGAGAAGACTCTTGAGAGTCCCTTGGCCTGCAGGAAGATCCAACCAGTCCAACCTAAAGGAAATCAGTTCTGAATATTCATTGGAAGGACTGATGCTGAGGCTGAAACGCCAATATTTTGGCCACCTGATGTGAAGAACTGACTCATTGGAAAAGACCCTGATGCTGAAGCTTAGGGAGTCAGTGCAGTCCCTGGGGTCGTAAAGAGTCTGACATGACAGAGGGAATGAACTGAACTGAACTGATGTCTGTGGGGCAGGGGGAGGTAGAGTGAATGTTCTCGTTGACCGTGATCTTCTGCCTCCACTGCCCACTTGGAGACATCCTCATCCCCTTCAAACTTCCCTAAAGGCGAACACGTCAGCTTTCCCACCCAGCACAGCCCCGTCCTCCCCTCTGACGTCCAGTTTCTGCTGACGGCTGCATCCTTTTCTCCGGGCGCCTCCCCAGGGCTGTCTCCGATCCCTCTGGCTCCCACCCTTCCTGACACCACCCTATCGCGCTCCACATGAGTCACCAGGCCTCAGAGCTACCAGGTCCCCAAGCAGAAGACAACCTCTGCCTTTGGCTCAGATACAGCGGAGCCCTGCAGAGAGGTGGCTGCTGGCCCACGTCACCTGGCGCTGGGATGCGCAGGCTGGACCAGAGCCTGTGGGCCCGGACACCACTCCTACCGCCGCCCCTCCTGCCAGGCTCTTCTTGAAGACAGTCCCCCATCCTCTCCCTCTGGCCCCACCGCCCCCTGCTCAGGGCCCAGTCCCCCACCTCCCCTTTGGCTGGTCCCCCCAGCAGCCGTTTCACCACTCTATTCACCGCTGTCACTCCACTCACCTCTGTGGAAATAGCTTCAGTGCCTCCCCTTGACCTGGAAGTAAACTCCTCCCCTTGACCTGGAAGTGAACTGCTGTGTAACAGAGTGCAGTGGGCATCGCTCTGGTGCGAGCTGCAGTGGGTGAGCGGCTGCTTCCTCACAGGCTGGTCGCTCCATGGCCGGGTCCTTTCTCACCTGCCCTCCCGCCCCAGGGACGGCACCTCCACGGCCAGGAGGCCTGCCCTCCTGTTTCTGCACTTTCAGGGGCCTCCCCGGGTCCGACCCTGCGGAGTGCGTGCCGCCTCCAGAGGCCCCCGCGCGTGCCCTGGGCTGAGGCCCCTTCCTGGCGGGCTCCCTCCAGCCACTCTCCCTCCCGCTCCCCGTGCTGGGGGGACTCGAGGAGCCCAGGAGCTGCTCTGCTGCCCAAGGGGTGACTTCCCGCCTCCATCCGCCCGCCCGCCGCTCCCTGTCCCCTTCAGCACTTGCTGCCTCCCGGAAGGCGGGGTGCGGCCCTGACTCTGCCCCCCACCCCAGCCTCCAGTGAACACAGCCCCCGAGTCGCTGTGTCTCTGGAGAGGCACGGCTGCAGTTGAACGAGGTCAGGGTGGGTCCCTCAGCCCAGGGTGCTCTGGGAAGCTCCCCTGGGGGCCTGTCACCCCTAATCTGGAGCCCAGGAACCTGGGACACAGGGAACGCCTGCTTGGTTCCCAGCAGGATGTCTGTGGTTTAAACTCCGCTCTCCTTTCTTCTGACCCTGAGAAACCTGACCAGCTGGATGGCACAGATTCCTGGCATATTTGGGGGATAGGGCGGTGTGCCTTTCCGAGAGAGCGTGGGGTTTCATGACCTGTGCTTGCACCCGAAGCATCAGGGCTGAAAATAGCGGCGATGCTATTTGTTAACAGATCTGGGTCAGGAATTTAAACAAGACCACGGGGTGCCTGGTCTCTGTCTTTCGGAACATCTGAGGTGCTGTCCCTGCCCCCGGGTCAGGTGACTCAGGAATCAGAGACAGGGTGGTGGCCGAAGGCCTGGCGCAGGGCAAACGTCTGGCTGGGTGCTCAGCCCTCCACAGGGTCCAGGGCATCCCTCGCCCTGTGGCCTCTCCATCAGGATTCAGGGCACATGTTAGGTGGTAGCTCTGGTCTCCCAAGAGGGCAAAAGCAGGATCCACCGAGCTTCCTTAAGGCGTTGGCTGATAGGTGGTACACGGTCCCTCCTGTCCCTTCCTGTGGCTTGAAGCGGCCGGAGTCAAACAGAGGTGCCTTGCACCCGGCGAGGGCTTGGGTACAGAAGGCACGGTCCTCTGCACACCTATGCTGGCCACTGTCAGGCACTCTGCCGGCCTTGCCTTTCTAGGTGATCAGTTCTTCAGTGGATGGAGGGCTGGTCCCCCCTCAGCACCCTTCCTGTGGGCTCCTGGCTCCCAGACCAGCTTCACCTCCAGCCGCCTTATCCAGAAAGGATGAAGGGAACCGCAGGTGCCCTGGGCCCTCCAAGCAGGCCTTGTTACCCGCCAACTCCTCCCTCACTGAGAACTTTCCTTTGGGTCAATTGGTGGGGAATGTAGAGACGTGGGCCACACTCTCATTTTACAGATGAGAAAACTGAGTCTAATCTGGGTTTTTAGCTCACACACTTGCTAAGTCAAAAGTCTGATAAGAAATGAGCGACTTAGGTTTGAGAGCCCAGTACTCTTCTTTTTTTTTTAATTGAAAAATCAGGAAATAGGGCAAGAACAAAGATGCAGACGTGGAGAATGGACTTGTGGACACAGCGGGCCGGGGAAGGCGGGATGAATCAGCAGTGACGCACCAACACACACACACACACACCACCGTGAGTGGAACGGCGGCGAGCGCAAGCCGCTGCATGGCCCAGGGAGCTCAGCTCCGGGCTCTGTGAAGACCTGGAGAGCTGGACTGGGGGGCGTGACAGGCCCAAGAGGGAGGGGGAGAGGTATACTTGTCACCGCGTCACGTTGTTGGACAGCGGAAACTAACAGACCACTGGAAAGCAGTTATACTCCAATAAAAAATTAATAAATCTGCCAAGAAGAGAAATTGGGAAACAAATTGTCTTTTCAAAAATCCATTCCCTGGTCAGTTTCTCTGGCTGCATCTAACCTGTCAAGCGAGTGATAGCCCTGAAGTCTTTCACAGCCACCTTCGCCCAGAGGTAGCTGGACCAGACCTGATTCTCTCTCACACCGTTCGCTGGACCCTAGGCGTGAGTTCACCCGAGGCACCAACTGTGTGTGAGCAGAACTCACTCTCGGTGGGACGAGACCGTCTGCTCGAGGGACGAGCTGGTCCCTGCCTCCTCTCGAGTGACCATTCGGAGCACTTCCTGTTTGGTAAGGGCGCACACGAACGGTGGGGTGACTCTGGGTTCTTCCCTCGGCCTGTTCTCCACTTGTGCATTTCTTGATCTCACCCCCTTTTTCCAGACTCACTTCCCCTTCTTTGCCTCTTCAGGTCATCTCTCTTCTGCCCAGCGGAAGCCACCGAGGACACGTCACTCTTTCCCTTGACTTTGCATGCGTTCAGGTCGCTCCTTCCACCTCGTGACACTGAGGGGCAGCCAGAGGTCGCCGGGCAAGGAGTCCTTCTTCGCCCGGCCGACCGGCCAGGGCCGCCCCACCCCTCTGATAGAGGGAGGCTTGGAGACCTCGGCAGGGCTCTGTGCTCTGCTCTGGCTTTGGTGGTTAGACACACTATGGGGCTTCCCAGGTCACTCACTCAGCTTCCAGTGCAGGAGGTGCGGGTTGGATCCCTGCGTGGCGAAGATCCTCTGGAGAAGGAAATGACCCGCTGCAGTGTTCCTGCCTGGAGAATCCCCTGGACAGAGGACCCTGGCGGGATACAGTCCAAGGGGTCACACAGAGTCAGACACTGTAGTGACACCGTGTAGTCGACACCGCAAGCCCCCTGAAGGCGGACACTGGGAGCCCAGCCTCTGCTCTCCGGGAGCCACCCAGCACCGCGCCGCGCGGAGGGAGACGCTTTCCGTGCGAGTGGACGTGTCCTCTTGTGCGTGAAGAGTGACCGTGCTTACCTTCCCAGAGCTGCGTCTGTGTTAGAGGAGCGTTCCCAAGGGCACCGCCCACTCCAAGAATCTGGAGATAGGGAAATAAAACGTTTGTGTTTTATTTTTAATGTTTTAAATTTTTATCTCATGCTGGGGGTATCGCTGATGTACAATGTTGTGTTAGTTTCAGGCGGACAGCCACGTGGTTCCGTTTTACCTATGCATATATCCACTCTTCTTCAGACGCTTTTCCACACAGGTTATTACGGACTCTTGGGCAGAGTTCTCTGTGCTTTAGTAGCTGCTTGTTGATTATCTGTTTTATGTACACTGGTGTATCTGTGTTGACCCCGCACTCCCAATTTGCCCCTCTTCCCCACATGTCCTCTTGGGCAGCCACAAGTTTGTCTTCAAAGTGTGTGAGTCTGTTTCTGTTTTGTAAATCAATCTTTTTAGATCCCACATATGAGTGATATTAGATGGTACTTGTTTTTCTCTGTCTGACTTACTTCAGTGTGACAATCTCTATCTAGGCCCATCCACGTTGCTGCAAATGGCATTATTTCATTCTTTCTATGACCTGAGTAAAATTCCATTGTATATATAGACCACATCTTCTTTATCCATTCATCTGTCGATCGACATTTAGGTTGGTTCCATACTTTAGCTATTGTAAGTAGTTTTGCTATGAACATAGGGGTGCATGTGTCTTTTTGAATTACGGTTTTCTTCAAATACATGCCCAGGAGTGGGATTGCCTACAATCATATCAGCCTGAATATGCCCAATTTCCTGGATCTTGGAAGCTACTCAGGGTCAGGCCTGTCTAGGTCTTGGATGGGGCGAAATAAGATTGCTCATGGATATGGAGTTGCCAGATAGAGCAAAGAAAAGAGGATGCCCAGTTTATTAGAATTTCAGATCAACAACAAATACTCTTTTGGTCTAACTATATTCCATACAATATTTGGGACATACACATGAGAAATTATTCTCTGTTGATCTGAAATTTAAATGTAGCTAAGAACCTTGTCTTGTATCTGGCAACCTTGCCTGGAGAGTTAAAGTATAACACTAACGCATGCGGATTATAGCAAAGTCAAGGTCACTTCGGGCGTCAGCGTGGGTCCTTCAGCAAGACCTGGTTGTAACTGGAGACTGTAAAAAAAGCATATTGACATAAACACTTCAAAGCTTCTCTTGAAACACGTCTTAGTAACATGCCCGGCAGAAAGGGGATTGGTTGGTGATGGAAAGTGCAGAGTCAAAGTGACAAGCTTCAGTCACTCCAAGTTTGTCCAAGAAAATCAACTTGGAAGTCAGGAGCAGCTCTGGTCCCTCGCCTCTTTGGGGGGCAGGGGTCATTGGAGGTGACCTGACAGATTCCCTGGGCTTTCTGATTCGTGCCTCCGGGGAGTGAACGTGCTGAGCTGGGCGCGACCCCTCCGAGGGTGGCACTGAGTGGCCCTAGGGTTCTTCCTCCCCGTCCTCTCTGTGAACTTGACTCTGATCCGTCCCCCACGTGCTAGGTCAGCCCAGTGGAGCGGCCAGCGGCAGCACCCGCGTTCTCAAGGTCCAGCCAGCAGTGCCGAAGGAATGCTTTTGCTGTGTTGTGTGACCCGCACACAGTCTCCATCCAGCCTCAGTGAAGTTGCACAGCCGAGTCCGATTCTTTGCGATCCCATGGACTGTAGCCTTCCAGGCTCCTCCATCCATGGAATTTTCCAGGCAAGAGTACTAGAGTGGCTTGCCATTCTCTTCTCCAGGGGATCTTCCGACCCAGGGATCGAACCCAGGTCTCTGGCATTGCAGGCAGACACTTTACTCTCTGAGCCACCAGGGAAGCCCAGCCTCAGAGGCAAGGAAACAGAGAGCTTCCAGTAATCCCCTGGAAGGGGCGTGGCTGGGACTCAAGCCTGTGGGTTCTTCTATGGAAAATGACTATTCATGTTTCCGCCAACATCTTTTCAAAACAATTAAAAAACTTTAATACGATTTTTAAAGCCCTTTCCATTTACAATATCGCAAAATAATTGGCTGGATTCCTTTCTTGTACAACACGTCCTTGTAGCCTGTCTGACACCCAGTCGACTGCACCCCACACTCTCCCACCCTCATCTTGCTCCTTCCGGCCCCACGGGCCACCACTGGTTTGGTCTCTGGACCCATGACTCTGCTGCTTTTTTGCCAAACGGCTTTTTAAAACACATGTACAAAAAATAAAACACTTGTACACCCATGTTTTATATAAATTTGTTGTTTAGTTGCTCACTCTTGTCTGACTCTTTGCAATCGCATGGACTGTAGCCCACCAGGCCCCTCTGTCCATGGGATTTTCCAGGCAAGAACACTGGAGTGGGTTTCCATGTCCTTCTCCAGGGGATCTTTCCAATTCAGGGATCGAACTAGTATCTTGTGCATTGGCAAGCAGATCCTTTACCACTGAGCCACCTGGGAAACCCTTTTATATAAATAGGCTCAAGTTATACACCCCCCCCAACACACACACAAACATGCACACACACCACTTTGAAACTTTTTTTTTTTTCGTTTTGAAACTTTAAAAGAAAATCCAGCCGGATCTTGGGGTTGTCCTTCTCTGTCTGTTCTCCTAACGGCCCGGCCACAGAATCCGGAATTGAAAAGCCTTCTATGTGATCCAACACCTTGACAATTCAGAAAACAAGCTCAGGAAGACTTCAGAGAGGAAATCCAAATATTTAGGAGGCAAAAATATTTGCCCTTGAAAGGAAGGAACACTATCACGCCCTCTCCCACCCAGGCCCGACCATCAAAGGCTGATTCCTTCTGTGGCCACTTTACGGAGTCCTCCCCATGAAGTCGACTTTTGTCCCGTGTGTGTTTTACAAGTAGACTGAAGTTATGTGAATTGCCGTTTGCGACGACTGACTCAGGTGACCAGGCCGGATCCTGAATCAACTGAGGTGTGTATTTAAGAGGAGAGCCTCTGGGCAGGAGCAAATGCCGGGGGAGTTCAGCGGAGTCAGAGGAGGGAGATGCCGGCGGGCGATGTTCACCACCTGCAGTTTCCAAAGCCCATTACTGTCCGGACTGTTCCCCCCGGATGGAAAGGATTTCAGGTCACTGCTGTCTTCTCGTGAGGACACACATATCCTCAAAGCAGTCTCATGAGGGACCTTGGCCTTGAGCCTTAAACACCCAGTGACTCATGTCAACAGGCTGTGTGTCAGACAGTTTCCACAATTAGAACCTGTGACCCACGAGTCTGCCCACAAGGCCGCATCACAAGGGCTTGTCATGAGCGTGGGTTTTTTAGCAAAAACTGACCTGCTGAAATGTCAGGGCTTTGGGCTTTGGGGTTTTGTGGGACTGTTCTTGCTGGAGTCAACTTCTTTGGATTCTATACAGTTCATTGAAAGGGGCTTTTCCCAAGTCTTTTAAAATATATCTATGTACATATATATGGCTTCCCAGGTGGTGCAGCGGTAAAGAATCCCCTGCCAATGCAGGAGACACAAGGGACAAAGATTCAGTCCCTGGGTGCAGAAGATCCCCTGGAGGAGGAAATGGCTATTTGCTCCAGTGTTCTTGCCTGGAAAACTTCATGGACAGAGGAGCCTGGCGGCTACAGTCTATGGGGTCGCAAAGAGTCTCAGACACGACTGCGCACAGGACAGCAGCATCATTTTATTTATTTCCTTATCTGTGGCTGCGCTGGGCCTCGGCTGCTGTGTGGGCTTTCTTTGGTTGTGGCAAGTGGGGGTTCCTCTCCAGTTCGGGCGTGCAGGCTTCTTACTGCGGCGGCTTCTCCTGTCACTGAGCGCAGGCTCTGGGGCAGGGGCTTGTGGGGTCTTCCCAGACCAGGGATCAAACCTGGGTCTCCTGCACTGGCCAGCGGATTCTCTACCACTGAGCCACCCGGGAAGTCCCTTTCCGAGTCCGCCTTCACCTCCTCAGCAGCCCTACGGGGCAGAGGTTCTTACGGTCCCATTTTGTGGATGACAACACTGAGGTTCAGGGAGGCTGAGCATCTCCCCTGAGACGGGCCGTGGGGTGGGGGGCTGTCTCACCCTGAAGCCAAGTGCCCTGACGCAGACTCTAGGTTCTCCGTCCCGAGGTCTGGGCCTCCAGGCTACTGTGAACGAGGTCGGTTGCATCCTCAAGGTCGGTACAGAGTTCCCACCGGACACAGCCGAGGCCATGGTCCTGACCTCATTCCCCAGGGCCCCAGTGCCTGCAGGGCTGACCGGAGCAGCTGCAGCCTGGAGAGAAGGTGACCCAGAAAAGCCAGGAGGGAATTTCAGAAGCAGAGACAGCTCCATGGTGTCAGATGCCGGGGCGATAGGCCGACAAACGCGCCTGCTCTGTTGTGACTTGTGCTTTGGGGACATCTTGTCCCCGCAACCCAGACTGTCCTGCACTGGCCAGGCCTACTCCTCCAGGACTCAGCCCAAAACATTGCCCCCCACCATGGAAATATCGTTTATGACTAAAATATAATAGTCTCATGATTTTTTTAAAAAACCACATATGATAACAAGTTTTCAAACTTGTTTTTATGCACATGTGTAAAGTGAATAAGTAAATTTCATACTTACCATTTGTAATGTACTTATTTTTGTACTCACAGATTATATATATATAAGACATGCCAATTTTTATACAGAAATGTCAAACATCAAAGTGGTATTGTATTACCTATAGGTTTTGTATCTCTCATTTTCACTTACTTTATAATGGATATATCTGATATCAAAAGTATGGATTTACATAAAATATTTCTGAAAATGAATAGCTTAAAAATATAAAACTAGTAAATGCTCCTTGCAAAAAAAAAATGTAAACGGTACAAAAATATATTAAAGCAGATAGCGCAGACAGCCTTCCCTCTGGAGAGTCATTATTAACATTTTGGCAAATATTTTTACACATGTAAAAACCCATGTTTTTATATGAAAAAACTCAAGTTATATATGCTGTTTTGAAAACTTGAAAAAAATTCAGCTGGATCTTGGCAACATCTTTCTATGTAAATAGTGTGAGATCAATCTTTTTAAAGACTGCATATTTTCCTGTGAGATTATAACTTGATTTACTTGGCTGAAACACTAATGATGAACGCTTATTTTTCAGGTTTTTCAAATGGTAAATGATGCTGTGATGAACATCCTTGGAGGCAGAGAACTGTCTCTGGAAAGAGACATGGATTGACAAGTCAGTCTGTACAAGTTCTCTTTGAAAATGCACAGCATGAAAAAGCCTGGATGTTGAGCCAGTGTACCCAGGTTATTTCCCTGCGGGATCAGGACTGATTCTGTTCCTTTGCCTACTCTCCCATCCCTTCCACCTTTCTATTAGAAGTATGTCTCACTGGTGTCTACTGTTACTTGGACTCCAGGAGAAATGCATTTTTATGCCCAATAAGAAATGAGTGTTTTCTAACCACTCAGGTGCCACCCTGAGGATCCTGTCTTTACTAGTAGTTTGCTTCACGCCACCCTCTGCCCTCCAACAGCGTCTCCACATCTGTCCTCCCTCTTGGAGGCTGTGGGTCCTCCCCTGTCTGTAAGGTAACCCAGCTGCACCCCGCGGGTTTCAGGGGGTGGGGATGCTGTCAGGCATGGAGAGCGAGCAGGGCTTGAGGTCCAGGGGGGCCCCCTGAGACGGCGCCTCCATGAACACAGGCTGGTAGCCCCTGTCAGGAGCAGACTGGATTCCAGCTCCTGGGAGAAGCCGTGAAGACCACACCAGGGCAGTCAGGTGCGTCCGAGCTGCCCCGCGCCCCCGCGTTTCTTCCACCCCAGGCAGGTGACCGTGATGACCTGGCCAGAGAGAAGCTGGTGGCTTCTGGGCGGCCGCCCCGCCCCCAGGATATCCGAGAACACAGAGGTGTCTTCGGCGTTTCCACCGAGGTCACTGGTCTAGTGGGTTGCTGGGTGTTTCGTCTGTGCTGAGACACTTCCTCTTTCATTTGCGTCTCATCCACCCCCACCCCCGCCCCCCTTGCCGCCCGCCCGCCTTCATGGAGACTGAAAAAGGGGAACGTGAGAGAAAACTGAATTTCAGATGCGGCTCCAGCGCAGAGACGGTGCCAGTGATTTCAGGAGAGGGTGGGGCGGGCGGGGCAGGGGTTCAGGACGCCCTCCAGGGTCCTGAGGTCACGCCTCCTCACTCACTTCCCCAGCTCCCACCCAAGGGGTCCTAGATGCCTCCCACAGGAGATCCTGGGGACCTGACTCCTGTTTTTCAGGAGTGACATTCTTTAAGTCAAAACCTAAGTCTGCTGTTCCTCATTTCACTGGGTTTGTTCATTTGCAAGACAGACAGACAGAAACACACACACGTGTGTCTGTATACGTGTGCAGGCACACACACACACACACACACACACACACACACACGCAGATTGTGGCTGCATTGGGAAACAGTCTGAGGCTCAGAAAATAACTTGCCTGACAAGACATCAAAGAGCTGCATAAAGAGGGCACGGCACCCAAGGCCGGGGTGGCGGGCTGCGCTGCACTGTGCAGCCGGGCTGATGATAAGCATCAGTTTGCTCCAGGCAGTTGAATCAGAACTGTAACAGATTGTTTGTTCCGGGAAACAGTATCTGAAGTCACAAATGATAAATAATAAAAGCTAGAAAAATCCCCTTTTAACCTAATGGACTCAAAGATGTCTTGCTTTTCATTTCTGCTAATGGCTTCACTGCCTTGGCACTGCCTGAGCTGGTCCATTACAGGCGAACTGAGTCTCGGTTTGCAAACAGGACGGGGTCCAGAAGGTGATTTATAAGCTGGGTGTTTGGGATGCAGGATGTCTTTCCCTAGCAACTGTCTTTCCCAGCGTGCCTCGGTTCTCAGCTTCATTGCACACGTGGTCCAACCCCTACTGAACCTGGGCTCTGGGTCTGGGAGCACAGGTTGTCTGAAGTGCAAGAGGGAGAAGACAAGTCAGCTCCTCCCTCCTCATGGAGCCCTGGCTCTGAGCACACTGGAAACACAGGTTAACTTGCTTTTCTGTCTTCCCTTCCAGTAATCAGGTAGAGGTCTGAGAGCTGGACCATAAAAACGGCTGAGGGTCGAAGAATTGATTCTTAAGAGCTGTGGTGCTGGAGAAGACTCTTGAGAGTCCCTTGGACTGCAAGGAGATCAAACCAGTCCATCCTAAAGGAGATCAACCCTGAATATTCATTGGAAGGACTGATGCTGAAGCTGAAGTTCCAATACTTTGGCCACCTGATTCGAAGATCGACTCACGGGAAAAGACTCTGATGCTGGGAAAGACTGCGGGCAAGAGAAGGGGATGACAGAGGATGAGATGGTTGGATGGCATCACCGACTCAATGGACATGAGTTTGAGCAAGCTCCGGGAGGTGGTGAAGGATAGAGGAGCCTGGCGTGCTGCAGTCCATGGGGTCACAGAGCCGGACACGACTGAGTGACTGAACGCCACCTCCCTTGAGGCATCCAGGACCCAGTGCCCTAGACCCCGGGATCACAGCGCCCCTCCCCGATCTGCCTCAGCTGCTCCGGGCTGCTTTCCTGCTGAGGGACTCGGCGACCTCACACTACCCACCTTTCCCCATCTCCTGACCCAGCTTCCATTTCCTCAGAGCGGTTGATCATCAGCTGAGGGCTAGCAGAAAAGCAGACTGAGGGGGGATTCTCAGGAGCAGCCGAGTGACTGAGACCCTCTGACCCCCTCACTGCATTATCACGCTGAAATGAGCTGGCTGTGAGACTCAGAGCCATCGTGGGCAGCAAGGTGGAGGCGTGAAAACGTGGGGTTAAGGAGTCAGAATCTTCACGCTGATGGGCCTCTCGTAACCGACTGACGCTGGCAGTCGGTTAGGAAATGACCCTTCCTTGGGAAAGACAGCATTGTCGTAGGTTCAGACACCGGGGGATCTCCCCTCAGTGAATCAGCTTGTTCTCTGCCAGTTCACATCCGCGAAACCTCAGTGAATAAGCCACTTTTATGCACACAGAACCTCCAACCAGCTTTTTGTGCCTTATGATAACATCTTAACAGCCAGCCAAGGATCACCAGCTGTTTGTGGAACATTTGAACATGAAAGCAAAAGACCCGAATACAGGAAACAGCAGAACAAAACTTCAAAAGTAGTGTAGTTAATATCTGTAGAGAGATAAGAGGCGACCTTTTACCCCTGAAATGAGAAAAGGTGCAAAATAAACAATCAGGACAAGAAAGGGCTTTGGGCTCTTGAAAAGTAGAATGTCTGAAAATAAATATGCAATAGAAAGGACAGTTGATGAGAACTTCAGAAAATTGTACAGAAAGATAAATGGGAAAATAGGAAAGAAAAGAAAATTAGGGGACCCATCCTGAAATTCCCATATCCAGGGGGAAAAAAACTGGGAGGGAAGGAAGTTATAAAGAAATAATAGAAGAAAATCTCAGAATGGAAGGACAAGCATCTCAAGATTGAAGGGCCCCTGACCTCCCTGCTGGTCCGGGGACGTGGCTCCCTCCCTGGTGGGGGAAATTCCACACACCGCGGGGCAAGCAGGCTTACAGAGCCCTCCCGCCTACAGCCTGTGCCCTGCAGTCAGTAGCCTGCGCCCCCAAAACTAGCGAGCAGCCCCCACTTGCAGCAACTGGAGAAAACCTTAGTGGTGTCTGACTCTTTGCGACCCCGTGGACTGTAGCCCACCAGGCTTCTCTGCCCATGGGATTCTCCAGGTAGGAATACTGGAGTGTAGCCATTCACTTCTCCACAAGAAAGCCTGCATGCACCAACCAACGGGCAGTGCAGCACAACCCCTCCCCACCAAAAAAAAAAAAAAAAGATAAAAAGATATACAAGGTATCTTTTAAAAAAGAAGACTGAAGGGCCCAACCAGTGAGCAACAAAATGAAGTGGGGGCAAACCTCTCAGATTAGGACACAGCTTTAAAAACTTAAAAAACTTGAGCACTCCAAGGATATAGAGAAAATTGTAAGATGTTCCTCAAAAAAGCAGGTATTATTAATAACATACCAAGGATGAGGAGTCAAAGTGACATTACTGGAATACAAAAGAAATTGAAGAGTTATCACAGTTCTGAGAGAAACTGATTTTGGCCTAAAATTCCACACCAATCCAGGGAAACAGTCAGGTATGAGGGTTGAATAATAACATTTCAGATCTGCAGGATTTCCAAGTGTTTACCTCTATGTACCTTTATTCCAAAACCCGGCTGGGGGCAGTGCCACTGAATTTCTTTACCTTTCTAATTTTGTTACAAATTTTCTTTTTGGACAAGGATGGCTGGCACACACACTCATTTCTAATCAGGAGAACCTCTTCCAAGAGGTTACCTGGCAGCAGGACAGGGGCTTGGAATGAAAACCTGGAATTTAGAGGTATTCTTGAGTGAGCCGTGAGGCGGGGGAGGAGGTGAAAGTGAAGTGAAAGTCACTCAGTCCTGTCGGACTGTTTGCCACCCCATGGGCTAGTCCATGGAATTCTCCAGACCAGAACACTGGAGTAGGTAGCCTTTTCCTTCTCCAGGGGATCTTTCCAACCCAGGTCTCCCGCATTGCAGGTGGATTCTTTACCAGTTGAGCCACAAGGGAAGCCCAAGAATACTGGAGTGGGTAGCCTATCCCTTCTCCAGCGCATCTTCCCGACCCAGGACCCAGGAATCGAACCAGGGTCTCCTGCATTGCAGGCGGATTCTTTACCAGGGAAGCGGGGTGGGGGAGGGAAGAGGGGCAGGAAGGATGTCTGAGGTTAGGTGCGGGGAGTCGGGCACCCCTTTAGGACAGGTATAAGAAAAGGTTTGGGGAAACGGTTATAAAGGGTTAGGTGTTCCCCGGGCTTCCCAGTAGGAAGCTGCCAGGACAGAGGGGCTTCGAGCGCAGCACAAACTGTAGGGAGAGGGAAGGGAGCCTGTCAGAGAGGAGGGAGGAGGAGGCCGACAGGAGACCCCCACGTCGAATGGGAAGGGCCGGGGAGGGGATGCAGCCAGGCCGGGGATGCAGCCAGGCCGTCTCCTGGGCAGCACTCGGCTTCGGCCAGCACAGCATCCGCGCAAAGGGCAGCACCGGGCTGAGCCGGGGAGCCTGCCCAGGCCCTCGGGATCGGAGCTGCCCCTTTCGTTCTGCACTCAGAGGCCGCGGAGCTGAAGTCCCACCAAGGGGCGCGTCCGGGGAAAGAGAAGCCCGGCCCGGGTCGCCGCCGGCCAACCCGGCCGCGCGGTCCACCCGCGGACTCGCGACGCCAGGGGAGCCGCTCGCACCCACGGCCCGCCCGGCACGCGCACGAGCAGCTGACCCCGCGGCTCAGGCGTGGCCGGACAGCGGCGCCCCGGGACGGCAGCGCGTAAAGGGGAGCGCGGGGCGGATCTCGGCGACTCGTCGCCCCCTCGCCTAGCTCGCGGGCGCAGCGGCCACTAGGACTCGGGCCCCGCCCCCGCCGTACGGCCTCGCGCGCAGGGGCGGGGCGGTGGAGAGTGCGTGCTACGACATTGCGTGCGGGGAGAGCGGGGGCGTGGCAGTGTGCGAAGGGGCGGGGCGACGGAGCGTGCGTGCTACGGCGTGCGGAGCAGTGAGCTCGGGGGCGTGGCGGTGCGCGAAGGGGGCGCGCAGGGCGCAATGCGCACGCGCCTGGGGCCGCCGCCGGGGGCGGGAGGCGTTGACGCCCGGCTGGGTGAGGGTGTCGGGAGGGATCTGGGGCCGGGTCGCCTGCTGGTGGAGGAGGGGGACACTTGTGGTCGAGGGGCGGGGTAGGGTGTGAGAGGAACTGCCGCCGCGGCGGAAGCTGGTGCGCGGGGGCGTCTCGGGGGAGCCGGGCCCGGCCGGGCCTCCGGATGCGACCTCCGATCCCTGACGCCGCCGTTTTCCCCCATCAGGGTGGCGGCTCCCGCGCAGGCGCAGACTGGCCGGCCCGCTGAGGCGGGGCCGCGGCGGGAGCCGCCCCGCCGGTGAAGGTGGGCTGACCGGACGGGACTGGGCCCCACAGCAGCGGTGAGGACACTTCTCTGCTCCCAGGCGAGCCCTGCTGAGAGAGAGCTTCGTTCTGGAGGTGGCCCTGGACCCCGGAGTTCAGCTGTCAGCGAGGACAGCCATTAGCTAAAAATCTCCCCTCCTCCCCATCATTAAACTGCAGAAAACCTGGTTAGGCAGCGCGGCGGGCTCCGCACGCTGACGTCCCGTTTCTCTTCTTCCCTCACCCAGACCCCTCGGGGAGCAGCTGTGAGCCCGTCACACGGAGGGATGACCTCTCTAGGCGGGGACGCCGCGTGAGCGAAAGAGGCCTGTCAGTGTGAGTCTGGCTCCTGGTCGGTCCCCTGACGGCTTCCCCAGGGTGACACCACCTCAGTGGCCGAGATCCGTTGTCAACCTGCAGCCAAGTTACAGAAACTCAGGACTTAACATGAGTTGCACTTCCCTTTGGTCGGGAACGTCTTTGAGACACGTGGGAAAGAATGTGTTTGATGTGGCTCTCATGAGTCAGCTCATAATATCATTATTACCCAAAAGTCAAGGAGATAGGGAATCGGGTCGTGTCTTAGGGTGACCACGAACGTTATAGTGGGAGCAGGTTCCCTAAGAGGTGGAGGAAGGAATCATATGATTGTCTTTCCACTCTTTCAGATACCCTCCCCAGGAAATTGACTTTTTTTTTTTTTTTTTTAGTTTGGCTGCTGTTGGGTTCTAGTCACATCACACAATATCTTCCTTGCGACCCCTGAGATCTTTCATTGCGCCTCATAGACTCTAGTTGTGGCTCACAGGCTTAGTTGCTCCGAGGCATGTGGGATCTTATGCCTGACTTGGTATGGAACCTGCATCTCCTGTGTTGCAAGTCAGATTCTTAACCACTGGACCACCAGGGAAGTCCCCCTAAGAAACTGATTAGAAACGGTGAAAGCAGGCAGTTCTCTGGTGATGACGCCCAGGCATTAGCAATCAGTCATTCCGTTCTAGGGGGAAATAAATGATGTCTGTAAAGACCCCAGTTTGGATATGCATTTTCCATGTGACCACGTATGTCCTTCTGGCAGATGCAAACAGTACGGCACTCTGAACACACCCTGAAGACAGCCCTCATCTCAAAGAACCCAGAGCTTGTGAAGCAGTATGAGCAGTTGGACCCCGGGGAGCAGCGCTTGCTGAATGAGGCCTTCAGGCCAGATAGCGATCTCTTTGGACCCATTACTTTGCATTCACCGTCAGACTGGATCATCTCCCATCCTGAGGCTCCCCAAGACTTTGAAGAGTTTTTCAGTGATCTTCACAGAAAGAGCCCTTCTCCAGGGAAGCAGACGATTTACATACAGTGCATTGGTGCGTCTTGCCAATATGCTGGGTTTGGTTTGGTCTTGTGATGGTGTTGTTGCCGTGGACAGTTTGCCTTGTACTTCTCATTCAAGAGGGAAGTTTTTATAATCATTTTTGACATTCGTTCCCACAGTGGAAGTTTGGTAACCAAACTGCCTTGAGAAAGAAGGTTTTGTTTTTTTCAAAAAATTTTATTTATTTATGGGCTGTTCTGGCTCTTCATAGCTGCACATTGGCTTTCTCTAGCTGGAGCAAGCAGGGCCTACTCTAGTGGCGGTGCATGGGTTTCTCCTTGTGGTGCCCTGTTGGAGAACATGGGCTCTAGGCCAGGCGAGCCTCGGTAGTTGCAGCACACGGGCTCAGCTGTCTCTGCTCCCGAGCTACCCAGCACAGGCTCAATAGTTGTGGCGCATGGGCTTAGTTGCTCCGAGGCCTGGGGGATCTTCCCAGACCAGGGATCGAACCTGTGTCTCCTACGTTGGCAGGCAGGTTCCTTACCATTGAGCCACCAAGGAGCCAGGTTTTCTTTCTAATCCGTGGTCACCTGAGTGAATGGTAAATATGTATTGAAAATTTAGAGTTGATTTGTTCCTAATTCCACATTTCTAACTGTAGACTGAGGTAAAGACTGTTCTGATCATCTCAAAATCTCTCTTTAAATTTTCTTCTGTATCTGTCATAGGATTGCTGGGAAACACCAGAAGTATCAGTGAGGAATATTTGAAATGGCTCAAGGGCTACTGTGAAGCCTTCTTCTACGGGTTGACAGTCAAACTCCTAGAGCCGATTCCTGTCTCTGCAACCAGATGTTCCTTTAGAATCAATGATAGCACACGGAACCTTCAGATTCATGCAGGTGAGCTGGATAGCCTTACAACTTGAATTGAGTAAAATGTATAGGTATATGTACACACACACACACACACACACACACACACACACACAAATATATCTTAAACATACTTTTTTTTTTTAATAGGGCAGATCCTGACGTTCTTAAAAAAGAAGAAACCCGAAGATGCCTTTTGTGTTGTGGGAATAACAATGATCGATCTTTACCCGAGAGACTCCTGGAATTTTGTCTTTGGACAGGCCTCTTTGACAGAGGGTATTCCTTTTTCACATTGTTGGTAGAAACTTGCTCAGCTTAAGACTCATTGTGAAAATTTTGAAAAAGGGAAAAAATTCCAACCAATTACAGTTTAGATAGTGAAGACCTTGCAGTATTTCTGGTGCCGCATCCCGCCGTAGCAGAAAGGATGCTCTTGATAGGCCCCGATGATCTGGGTCCTTCCACCCCCCGCCACCGCCCCCTGCCCAGCTCAGCCATTCACTGCCTGCACCACTTGGAGCTAATAATACCTGTTTCACTGTGTTGTTTTGAGATAATTTACATAAAACTGCTGATCCATAGAAAGTGTGTACTTATGGCTAACACATATATAGACATTCAGTGCAACAGATGGCAAATATAGGTAGTTCAGTGACAGGGTGAATTAAATAAGGATATCTGAACTGTCATTAATGGAAGCGGAAATCTTGCTAATTGTTTTTCAGCTCTTTCCGTAGTTGTCTTGCATAGATGAGGTCGCTGTGCACTGATTTATAAGTGTGTGCTTCATATCTTGTGTCTCAGAACAGACGTTTTGTTATTTATGGTCAGTTTCAGTTTTTGACTTGAAATAAGCTTAACTGTAACTCATGGGGAACCCTGCATTTTAGCACTGGGGAGGAAAAGGCTCTATAAGCAAGTCATATTTTTGCCTATTGGGTTTTTTTTTTTGCCTTCTCTCTACTTCTCCCACCCTTCCATTTCTGCTCTTGTTTTTCTGCCTGCATCCGTCAGGATCTAAGACAGGCTCGGAGGGGAGAAGCCCACTGAGCTGAGGGGCATGGTTGCCCGCTGGAGTTGTGGGGCGGGAGCAGGTAGCGGCGGTGGGGCTGTGCGAGCTCCGGTTCGCAGGCGGGCTGTCACTGAGCCTGGAGTGTGTGAGCCTCAGGGTGGCAGGGCGGGGAGCCCTCGCTGCCAAGGCCTTCCTGTCAGAGACCGCCTCTTCCCACTCATCGGGTCTGGGGCCCAGGGCGCCGTGAGGCCTCTCTGCCTGCCCCTCCTTCGCTCTCCTTCTGCGTTTGTAGTCTTCGAGCCCCACACCCACGAAGCCACCGGCTTCCCGGGTGACACCAGCCAGTGCGGGAGATGCAGCTGAGATCTGGGTCGGGAAGGTCCCCTGGAGGAGGAAATGGCAACCCACTCCAGTCTTCCTGCCTGAGCAGTCCCATGGACAGAGGAGCCTGGCGGGCTGCAGTCTGCGGGGTTGCAAAGAGCTGGCCACAGCTGAGCAACTGAGCACGAGCGAGTCCACACCCACGCCCGCCCGCCCGCCACGACCTGTTAGCGCACTCCCTGAGAGGCTTGGGTCCCTGCTGTCCTGCTTTTTTTTTTGTACCAGCCTTCTATTGGAAAAAAAAAGAGTGAAGCAAAAAGTTGTACGAAACAAATCTTTTATTATTAGCCTGAGAGAACCAGAACCATTAAAAAATTTTAAACAATATTTATCTAGATTTTGTTAACCAGTCTATCTTATGCATTTGAGGAGGTCAGGAAGCATTCTCCCCAAGTGTTTCTGCTTAATTCCTTTTTTTCCCCCAATAAGTTTCTTAAATTTTGCATGACATGAGAGAAGACGTAATGAGGGAGCAGGGTATTGTGCCCTGCGGTGAGGGGGTCTCCTTACTGCAGGTGACTTTGTTCTCGGCAGGTTTATAAAGATTGGTATTTTAAAATTGAGAAATATTTAATTAGTAAAGGAAATAATGTATTTGTAGGATTATTAGAAGAAAAAAATTTCTTGCTCAAGGTATTATGGGCTTCCCTGGTGGCTCAGTTGGTCAAGAATCTGCCTGTAATGCAGGAGACCTGGGTTCGATCCTTAGGTTGGGAAGATCCCCTGGAGAAGGAGCGGCTGCCCACTCCAGTATTCTGGCCTAGAGAATTCCATGGACTGTCCATGGGGTCACAAAGAGTTGGACAGGACTGAGCGACTTTCACTTTCAAAGGTGTTGTAGTGAAATGTCCCCACCTTTGTTTGGTCAAAGGAAGTCACTTGAGAGTGAGTAGGTTTAGTTTTTTCTTAACTTCTAGAGTGCCCTCTTCCCTATATTTCAAATATGGAGGTGGGGTGAGACGCATTCGTTTTGAATCAAATTTAGGTTTGACAAACTTACTATGAATTCATTTCCTTATCAAAAAATTTCCTTATTGCTTTCAAACTAGCAACTAAAAGACAAGCCTACGTGAAAGAGGCCGTGTGGCCAGCTGGACTGTAAAGCAGCCGGCCCTGTAGCATGAGTTGTGTGTGTGTGTTCCCGTGTACAGAGATGGCTGAGACTAGCTGAAGTGTCACAGGAAGTCAGTTACAGGCGTGTTTGTTCTGGTCACTGGCGCCAGCCATAGAGAGAGCTGTGCTGTTTACAGATGGGAGGACGGGGAGGTTCTTCAGTCTGAAAGCGGGGACCGAGCGTGGTCTCCAAGGTGTTGGGGAGCAGCAGCAGGCAGAGGGAAGAGAGAAGGACAGGCGCCTTATGGAGGGGCCTGCCAGGAGACCCGTTGCCCGCAGTCTTCCAGAGAGCACGTAAGCTCCCGTGGTCCTGACACCCGCTGCTGCTTTGGGTACTTGGTTGGGCCGATTTAAGAAAATGGGTGATATTTTTTTGGCTACCCCACGAGGCTTGCAGGATCTTAGTTCCTCAAGCAGGGATTGAACCCAGGTCCTTAGCAGTGAAAGTGCAGAGTCTAAACCACTGGACTGCCAAGGAATTCCTGAGAAAATAACTTATTTTATGGTGAAAAAGAAAACAAACTCTCTGGAACTTTCTTTTTCTGAAGAATTTGACCTTAAGAGCTCTGAGTTGTACAGAGCAGAGCAGGCTGGACGGCAGAAGACTGAGGAATCTGGGCCAGAAGTCCCCTTGGTGGGCAGACCTCCCTGAGCCTGGGGGCTGCGTGCCTGCCCCGGCCAGGTGCCCAAGCGGGCTCTTAACTGGTGTTTCCCCCAGAGGAGGGAACCTGCCTCTCAGCCTGGGCTGACCTGTCGTCTTCCCCCAGGTGTGGGCGTATTCAGCTTCGCCAGGTACGGCCCGGACTTCTACAGCTCGCAGTACAGAGGCAGAGTGCAGAGGCTGGAGAGGAAGTCTTCGCGCGACTACGCGGTGTTCGACGACTACTGCCTCCCTGAGGTCTCCAGCGTGCTGCTGCTCCGCTCCTGCAAGGTGGGCGGCTCGGGCGGCTCAAGCGGCGCGCCGGCAGGGGCTGTGAAGGGGTCGGAGCCCTTTGACTTTACACGCCCCAATCCTAAAGGTCGCCTTGTCAGTGGCCTGGTGTCGGGAACACACTGTTGGTGGATATCGCTTGACTGAAGTTACCAATAAAACCAGAATTTAAATGGGGACACTGTCATGGTGACATGTACAGAATCTGGGCCTGTTTTATGTCCTGTAACACACAGCCTTACCTGTACCTACCTCATTACTGGTAGCTTAATTCCAGAATTCATGGTCATCGAGTCAGGCTGCCCCACCACCAGCCCCCCAAGCCTGCAGGACCCCTGCACCCTGGTTTCCCTTCCTGGAGAACAGGCCTTCCCTTGGGCCTCCGCCAGCTCCCTGCCCTAGACTTCCCTCCCCTGGGGCTCCGGGTCACCTCCTGCAGCTGATGGTCCTGCTGCTTGTTGCTGATGCCTTCCCCGCCCCGCTCTGGAAAGCCTGTCTCCTCGTGTCTGTCTGCTTCATGGCCAGAGACACGGGCTGTGTGTTGGGGTCAAGAACAACGCCTGATGGAATGATGGTTTCTAAGTACAACTGACCCTTAAGCAGCATGGTTTTTAGCCTCTTGGGCCCACTCACACAGGTGTCTCTCCGCCTCCATAAGTACCGCCATCCCGCGTGGCCCGGGAACTGGGTGCAGAAGGCTGGCTGTGAGGCTGGAGCAGAGTCTTTGACTGTGGGGCCTGGGGTAGGGGCTCAGCTGTGCCTTCCCTGCCTGGACCACTTGTCATGCAGATCGAGCCCTCCCCTCCCCTGCTGCCCCGGCATCTGGGGGAAGGGCCAGAACTGGATTTCAGCGGGTATCTGTCTAGATCCATGGTCTCCACCAGGGTGAGTTTGCCACCCTGGGCATGTTGGACAAGCCTGCAGACTTCTGGTTGTCACAGCTGGGGAGGGGTGCTGCTGGCATCCGGGGGGTAGCGGCACCCCCCGACCTCCGGCCCCGCCAAGGAGTGACCCATGGTGTCCGCGGGGGAGGTGCACAGAGAGGAGGGCGGGAGACAAGGGCAGGTGAGGGCCCAGCGAGCAGGTTCTGTGGATCTGCTCCTGGACAAGCTCGCCTTGCTGCCGCTGACGCGGGCGCCTCCGTGTGGCTGTCTTGCAGACTCTGACCCACGAGATCGGACACATCTTTGGCCTCCGGCACTGCCAGTGGCTGGCCTGCCTGATGCAAGGCTCCAACCACCTGGAGGAAGCCGACCTGCGCCCGCTGGACCTCTGCCCCATCTGCTTACGCAAGCTGCAGAGTGCCGTCGGCTTCCGGCTCAGAGAGCGGTACAAAGTGAGTGGGGAAGTGGTTACTTAAGGAGCAAGCGACCATTTTCTATTAGGCCCTTCTCTGGAGGTGATTTATCAGAGGAAGTTAGTGCAGAGGTAAGCAGGATGCTGTGGTTTAAAAAAAATGCAAAGAAATAATCAACAGCTTTGACTTGCCTTATGCTTAGACCCCACTGAGACTTGGTGAAGAGGTTTCTGCATTTGCTGTTTGTTTAGGGCCAGAGAGCTTGCCTTTGCAGAACAGAGTAAAATACTGAAGAGCAAAATTCATGTTTAAAAACTAGAACTAAAACAAAAACTAAAACTATGTGGAGGTGGTTTATCTTTCCAAATGTGGGGCAGGAGTGTGATATTCATTAGGAGGAAGGGATGGTGTTGAGGAGGAAAGAATGTCCCTACATCCACAGGTGCCCACAAACATGTCAGTGTACGCCGCGTACCTGCGTGGGTATGACCGCCCACATGGGTGACTGCAGTCCCTGTCTGCACATGTGTCTTCACGTGTGCATGCCTGCCAGCCCAGTGTGCACACTTGAGGTGTGTACACGTCCCCATGCGCACACTGCAATGCCTCGTGGAACCCTTGGCAAGTTGAGAAAACAAAATAATCATTCTCCCACCTTCAAAAACCCATCTCATCCCTTCTCTCCTCTCCTCTCCCGTGTGTCCTGTGACTGTCCCGTGTGCTCACAGTGGGCGTGGTTCTGGTGCACACTCTTTGACGAGCGTGGTCTCTCCTTCACGGCCGTCTCTATGAGGTGGAACATCTTTGTGGGGGGCATCAGTCGCCCACGCAGATTCCATGATTTGGGAGATCCTGTTTTTCTCTTGCCTGAGTCTCTTCTGCTGTGATTTGTTCAAAGCTGTGTCTCTGATTTTCCAGGCGCTGGTCAGGTGGATTGATGCCGAGTCCACCGACACTCCTAGAGTTACTCCAAAACACAGTCGTGAGGAGCTGGTAACTTTGCCAAAACCTGTGGAAGCCTTTAAAGAGTGGAAGGAGTGGATCACAAGATGCCTGGCTGTTCTCCAGAAATAAGGACCTTCAGTAGGAATAATTCAAATAAACACGTGCACATCATGCTTTCGTTTGGCGGGAGTACTTCATTGGAATAAACTGATTCTGTGTTGTGTCTGGGCAGTGGAGTGAAGGTTTTTTTTTTAACAGCACCTGAACTTTGAACCATGGCTCATTTAGAATAAAAACTCAAAACTCTCTTCTCTCTTAGCCTGGTCTGTGGCAGCAAGTGCGTCATTTCCATTCTTCACATGTGTTTATATCTCATGAGAGGTTAGGACCAGGAGAAGTTAGTAAGTAAACAGATCCTGTGAAAATAGCTCTCTCTGACCTAAGAAAGGGTTTCCAAGGAACATCATTTCTGGGGGTTGATTTCTGGCTCAGTTTTTAGAAAGAGGTGCCCCCATCTGCTGACCCTGACACATCACCCTCCATTCACATGGCTTCTGCTTTTCTGCAAACTCTTCCAGCCTTGGGCCCACTGTGCCTCTTTTTTTCCTTTGCTGATCGTTAGCTGATCCCTGAAAGAAGCAACAGCTCACCTCAGTTTTTAGCAGCTCGACATGGGAGCTCCTCCTGGGGAGTATTTGCAGGCGGCATTGACGGTGCCCATCCTGCCCCGCTGTTGGTGCTTGTGGGGACGCCGCTGTTCTCAGCTTTCACAGACGGAGTCCTTTGCCAGGGGTCTTGCAGATAACGTGTCGCGATTGTCGGCCAGTCCGAGCTCATACTGCTCGCTGGCACGACAGGCCAGCAAATCGAGAGGAGTTTTGGGGGCAAGCAATAGTGACTCTTCAGAAAGCCAGCAGACCGAGAAATGGTGGACTCGTGCCCAGCAGAGTTAGAACTCGGGCGGCTTTTGTACTAAAAGGGAAGGGGGTGTGGGGCTTGTTGCAGCTTCTTGGTGTCTGCATCCTTTGCTCTGGGAGCTGTCCACTTAAGTCACATCGCCACCTTCTTACAAACCTCCAACACGACGGATGTTACTTTCTGTTCTGCAGCTTTTCCTCTGTATATGAACAGAAAAGTGTCACACTTTTAAAGGTCAGAGGCTTGAAAACGCTCTGCTGTGTATTTCAGGCCTCAAGCCTTTTTTTCTGAACGCACTTTGGGGGCATGGGGGAATCTTCGCTCCCCCACCAGGGCTGGAGCCTGCGCCCCCTGCAGGGGAAGTTCGGTCTTAACCACGGGACTGCTGAGAGGTCCCCGGCATTCTTGGCAGCAACGGCAACAGACCACAGAGGTTAAAGGAAAGGAAACTGTTCCAACATGGACTCACATTTGCTCTTCCCTTTTACACAGTGGTGCTTGTGGTTGTGTGTGTGGCATTTTTTCTTAAAGCCTAGAGCAGGTGCTGGGTTTATTCCTGCAGTAATCTCCCATTCCTTTGCGTTGATGTTTACATGAGTGAGGGGCAGCGTGGGGCCGGTTACCTGTGCATCTGCCAGAGATGCTCACATCAGGCTGGGAACACGGGCTGGATGTCCCGGTGGGGAACAGGTTAAAAATTTAAGACCGGACAGACTGCTGGATCCGGAAAATTTAGAAGCTAGAGCAAATCAGGTATGCCGGCAGACAGGAGTTCCCGCTTCTCATTTAACCTGGAGGGTGAAACTAAAGGGAATCTTTATTTTCCACCGTTTTCGCCTGAAGCCTAGCACTGTTGTTATTTACGCAGCATGATTTAAAGCACATTTTAGAACCAAATCAATGGCTCCGCCTCCCATCTCCTGCTCGGTGAACCTCTAGTCATTTAGAAAACGGTGGTTTGTCATTAGAACTAGTTGAAGGGCAGAGACCAGGTCTTCTAAGAAACACTGCCAAGGGGACCCATGCAGCATGGACTCCGATGGATCTGCTGTGAGTTTTATTTCCGCCCGGAGGTACGTCCTTTAGGTATCCTCCATTCCCTTCAGTTTCCTTTCATCGCCCTGCAGGGTGAGCACAGTGGTCAGCTTTAGTTGCAAACCTAAAAGAACTCAGATTCGACGAACTGTGTTCGGGGGCGGGGTTTCAGCTGTTCGGTGAAGACAGAAGTCTGTCCGCACTGACTGCGCCAGAGACCAGCAACCAGGTCTGTTACACCGGCCCCTCCCGTCGCAAGCGGCAGCTCTGGCGTCTACTCTGCGATCCTCACTTGGGTGTTATTTGTCACCAATGATTGCATTGCATTTACTTTTGGAACACTTCTTAGGGTTAAGTTAAACAATATAATTTGTTTCTTGCAATTGAAGTTAAAACACTATGGAAAAGTGTTTGTAGTTTTTAAAAATTATTCTCAATGACAAAAACCTAACCTATGCAGTTTTTGCTCTGCAAACGCTGAACCAACAAGGTATTTGAGAAGAAAGAGTAATTTTCCACCGTGTGAACACCATTCTAGAAAACTGAGTCCGAAGCGTTCCCGGCGGCGCCCAGGGACTTAGCAGGGTCCCTCGGGTCACGGGAAGGGTCGGGATTCAAGTTCAGGCCGCGGGGACTCTACGCGGAGGCCGAGCTCCGTCCGGACCCCGGCCGCGCCCCAGAGATGCCCGCGCCGTGAGCGCGAGCGCCCGCATCCCGGTCCCGCGCCGCCCCCCGCGGCCCTCCCCTCCCCCGCCCCCCGCAGGAAGCGCCCGGCAGCTTCCGCCCAGGGCGCCAGGCCCGGACCGCACCGGACTGCACCGGACCGCCGGGCGCGGCGGACGTCGCCGCGGCGGGACCGGACCCGACCCCGCGGAACGGAGCGCAGCCGCGCGGGGGCGCGGGGCGCGGGGCGCGCGCAGGGCCGGGAGTGCGTCCGTGCGGGCCCGGCCGGGCGAGGCCAGGCCTCTGCGCGTCAACCCTGCCCACTCCTCGGTGCCCGTGGGTCCTCGGAGCCGCTCCGGCCCCTGCGCCGTTCCTGGGAGCCCGCGAGCGCGTGCGGACAGAGGCGGTGACATTCACGTGATGGTGTGGCCCCGGCCCTCCACTTCGCCCGTGTTATCAACAGGTGACCCGCGCGAGCTCCCTGAGGTATGTTCCATTCCGTGTGTGTGGGCGGGGGGTGTCGGGGCGCCGGGGCAGGGGCCGAACTAAGACGGGTCTCTTGGCAGGTTTATGTTTTATATATAGTGTTGTTTGTCATCGCGGTACTGTGCGCTGCTCTTTGGGACAGATTCTCTACTACCGGCGGGTTTGGACCTTAAACCGCATCGCTCCTGCTGCGCCGCCCCCAGCCCTGATAACCACCGTTCTGTTCCGTTTGTAGCAGCTCTGCTCTTTTCGGTCCCAGACGTATGTGATGTCCCACAGTGTTTGTCTTTCTCCGTCTGACTTATGTCACTTTACATTATATTCCCAGACTAGGTCTTCAGGTTCCGTCTGTATTTTGCTGGGACGCTGCGTCTGGGTTCCCAGTGGCCGCATGTCAAACGGCGGGCGGGCCCGATGGCTCCTGGCTGCCGTGTTGGACAGTGCGGCGCTGTTATGACCCATTTCCAGTCTGCGTGGGAACGTGTCCCTTTGAAGTGGAGTTAACAGGAGAGGGGTGCTTTTGGAAGGAAAAGGTTGCGGGGTCTTCAGTGTGTGCAGACAGTGCTCATGTCGGCTGAAAGCTGGGGGTCCCTGTGAAGGCTGCGGGATCCCCCATGAGTGTGCTTTGGGACCTGCTGTGATTCCCTGGAACAGATGGTGGTTTGGCTTTGTTTTTTAAACTCTCTCCTTCCATTGCCAAGGGCCTGGTGCGTCCTTTTCACTTTTGGAAAGCGAAGTTGCAAAGTGTGAATAATGTGGTGCAAGCTCAGGCTTGTGTGAACTTGTGTGTAGTTACACCAACAGCAGAGATGACCCCAGATCTCCCTCACTTCCAAGTTCTGCTTTGCCTTCACTATGCTGCATGACCTCATAAGGACAGCACCAGAAGCAGGAGACTTAACTGATTTTTTTCAGATTGTTTATAGGAGAGGTTGTAAGATTAAACTTTCTTTCAACCTCTTTTCAAGTGGGACCCTCTGGGGCTGCTCAAAGTCAGAAATCCCAGTGCCTTGCTTTAACACCAAAGAGAGAGACTCAATACAGAGAAAAGCACTTGCTTCCAGTTGAACCACAGGGGGAAGGACACGTCCTTGAGGGAATTACCTGGCGGTCCTTGGTTAGCACTCCAGTCTTTCACGGCGGAGGGCCCGGGTTTAGTCCCTGGTGTGGGAACTAGGAACCTGCAAGCTGCCTGGTGTGGCAAAGAAAAAAAAAGCAATAGAGACATCATGAAAGAAAAAAGTCTACCGGAAAAAAATAGCTTATGCTGTGTTAAGTCATTTCAGTTGTGTCTGACTCTTTGTGACACCATGGACTGTAGCCCACCAGGCTCCTTTGTCCATGGGATTGATTCTCCAGGCAAGAATGCTGGAGTGGGTTGCCATGCCCTCTTCTAGGGGATCTTCTTGACCCAGGAATGGAACCCATGTCTCTTAATGTCTTCTGCACTGGCAGGTGGGTTCTTTACCACCAGCACCACCTGGGAAGCCCCAGGAAAACGGCTTAAGTCCAGCAGGCTACAGTCTGTAGGACTGCAGAGTCAGACACAGCTGCAGTGAGTTAGCACATATGTATGCCTGTATATAGAGTGAATTCTGCACCAGCAATATGTTTACATTCACAGCCCTCCAAGCATCAGTCTTTCTATCTGCAGGATGATTGGTTCCAGAACTGACCCCCGCCCCGAGCCCCACAGTACCAAAATCCATGGATGTTCACGTCCCTTCTGTACAGTGGTGTATAGTATTTGTGTATTTCCTATGCACATGCTCCAGGATACTTTAATCACCCTTAGATTACTTATAATACCTAATACAATATAAATAGTTGTAAATAAAGTGTAAATGCTATTTAAATAGTTTCCAGGTGTGCAGGAAATTCAAGTTTTGCTTTTTAGAACTTTCTGGAGTGTTTTCAAGCTGGTTTTAGAGAAGGCAGAGGAACCAGAGATCAAATCGCCAACATCCGCTGGATCATTGAAAAAGCAAGAGAGTTCCAGAAAAACATCTATTTCTACTTTATTGGCT